CAGGATGAAAGGATCAGGGAGTTTTTAATGTATGATTTCAAACTCAAGAATTCAGTCCTTTCTTCTATTCTTAAATTAATTGTTTAGGAATAAAGTAAGGTCTAAATTCTATACGCTCATCTCAGAAAGAATCCTGTGGCTGATCTTTCCTTAAAGACTTAGTTATCAATGCTCCGAGTGAAATTTATGTGCTAAACTGTATGAAAAAATCAAAAATGAAACCCTTTCTTTCCTTGCCTCTTTCATATATTTTTGCATTGTTTTTTTCCCCTCTTAAGAAAGAGGGGGTTAAAAGTATTTATTTTAGTTGCACATTTGCTGGCTCTGGAGCAACGATGGGAGCACAGTAGTAAATAGAACTGTGTGTCTTTTTATTTTATTCTTGTGGATTTCTCAACCTCTTCTGTTTCATCCTCCAGAGCAGTTTAGAGCAGCATTCTGGCATTTATTCTGCTTAGTGTCTGACATCACAAAGTGACCCTCTGGGAAACAGGGTTGTGGATGCAGTCTCCGTTTTCTTTTTTAGATCTTGCTTTGCTTGAAGAGGGGAGGGATTTCAAGCTTTCCTCACTGAAACCAATCTAAACATTGACTGCTTAGTGTTAGCAGTTTTGTTTGGACTATTGCTGTCTCTGGTGCTGTGCTTCCCCCGAGCAAGGCTTTGGGAAGTGAGCTGTTACCAGTAAACAGACACTGCGTTCTGAGCCACTGCCAAATGAGAGGAGAAGGCTTGAAGATACAGCTGTTCCCTTTTGTGCTGGTTTGGCTGCACGCATCTGCTGATGCCCAGATTCTTCAGGATAGTTGCCTTGAAGTACTGTTTTCTTTTTTTTTTTTTCCCCCTGCTTGCCTTGTTAAATTTGAACCAAGAGAAGTAAGTCTTCCAATTTAATGGGATGATTGGCAGGGTACACATATTGTTAGTCATCTGGGGTGCAAAGTTATCTCCAGTCCAATGAGACTGGAAGGAGAGGCTGTGTGTGTAACTGTTTTTCTAAAGAATTCTTAGAGTGTAGGAATTCTCATCAGGAACTGTAATTTCTTTGGGTTCCTATTTGGGACAGTATTAAAATGGAAGGGTGAATTTGAAAAACAAAATGCCCTTGAGCTTTGACTTGTTTCTTCTTGTCAAGTCTCTCAGTCTAATTAGTCGGCAGGTAATCAGCCTGCCATCAGGAGATAATTATGAGATGCCAGTCTCTAATAAAAATGGAAGTGTTTACCTGCCTGCACCATTTCATTTAGCAACTTTTTCTATTGCTGTACCTCTTGTGGATATTGACACCACTCAGGATAGGTTCTTTGTTAAGGCATGAGTGGCTCCGCTTTGTTTTGCACGTATTTAGGCTGATAAACGTTACGTTATAAACAGGGCTGTTAAGTTCAGTGGATGCTGCTTTGTAGCTTAGTGTTCAAATCAATGCTCCTCTCTGAAAGGATTTATGGAGATGCTGAATACAGTGGCATGAATTGTCCCATTGGCTTCAGTGGGACAGTACATGACAGAGAAGGCTTTGGCAGACCAAGGTCTTGTGTGCTGAGTGCTGCAGTGCTTTATTAAAAGGCAGCCAGTTGCACAGCCCAGGTAGAAAGCAAAGGCTGCAAAGCACCTAAGCGTCTGCCCTCTCCTTTGTTGGTCTCATAAGGCTGGTATTCCTCTAGCTGGGAGCTGCCAGCTGCTGCAGTACGTGCTTAGGAATGCACAAACTGTTTTCAGCTGAAAAATAGTGACTGTGAAGGAGAGGAAGTAGCAAGGCTAAAGGAAACTAGCTTAAATCTGTGTGTAATGCTTCTGCAGAGCCATTTCTGAGCTGGTTAGGGGGTGAACCCAGAGCTCTTGTCATGAGCAAGTAGAGGCAAGTTCAGGCTAAGTGAGGTAGCAGGTTTGCCTTGGTTATTTTTGTTTGGGATTTTTTGTTAATTTCTAGAGGACTGAAAGATTTTTTCTTACAGTATTTCTATTCAATAATTGAAGTAGAAGGTATTTATTTGTCAATAAAGAAGGAAGAGATGTAGATGAATAAATGGAGTTCTTCCTCCTTCCCTGGGGTTTCAGGCATTGTCCAGCTCTGGCTGTGCTGGTGTTCTGCACATGGAAATGTGCTTTGCAGATGGCAGTGCAGCCCGGTTTTCTGCTAATCCCCTAGTGGTGATGGGGCTGGGATATGAATACTAACAAGGACTCTTTTGGAAAAGCCCCAGCACTGTGTAAGATGGTCCTTGGTAAGTTTGAAGACAGGAGTTTTGAAGATTCTAGGCTTTTACCTCCAGCTGTTTTGTTTGTTTGCCTTCTGTATTTGATCCAGTTGATCTTTACACAACAGCAGAGTCAGAATCCTAATCCAAATTGTAACCTTTTTCTCAAGCTCCTGCAGGCTGTTAAGGGCAGAGGGGCAGAGGAACAGTGCCTTTTAAAGCTTTTAAATTGACAGAAGGGACCTTTGGTGAATATTTTCTTCATGGAAGATTCAGTTTGCTTGTAGTCGGCTGTAATTTTAGCTGTATTCCTGCTATCTTATGTGCAGCTGTGATATGCACGTAGGAACCCTTTTTAGTCTTGTTACATGAACTCATGTAACCCCTTTTGAGGGGAAAAAACCTGAGTCTGTCTATTGCTCTGGATGAACATAGAGCTGAGGATCACATGCACGTTGGGTGACCGTGGGTGTGGGAATGCTTCTCAACAAGGGATTGTATTGGAGCTTCTAGCAGGTACATCCTTGGGTATGTTCAAGGCATCTGTGGTACAGAAAGGAGCTGCTGGCACTGCTGTTGGTTCCATTGGCCCAGCTGAAGAAGCCTCTGAGAGGACACTGCAAGGGGATTCCTGTCATCAGGTGGTGACTGGCGTGTAAAAAAAAGTTTGTTCATCCCTCATCATCCTTCCTGTCCTGATTCCTTCAGGGATGTGGTGGGCAGCCTGGGGTGAGCTCTCCTGTTCTGCCCCTTGCTCTCCTGTATCTTTATAGGTGGACTACACAGATTTCTGTGGGTTGAAATTATCTGCTGTGCCCCTCAAGGGGAAACAGATGTTGGTGTTTTGTGTTTCATGTTTCTATTTCAATGGGAATAAACACCCTGCAAGTAGTGAAGCTGTCTGTAGGGAGGTCACACAGCTCTCCTCAAAGAGCAGTGGTGTTATGCAGGACAAGTGTCCTGGGTGGGTCTAGGGATACTAAGTGGTGGGAGGGATTTGCTGCTTTGCTGTCGCAATGCTTGATGTACTGAGTGCTTTCATCTAGCACAAACAAGTCAAAAACACACAGCATCTTGTCCCAGTCTGGGTGTGCTCAGAATTGGTTTTGTCTAAAGGAAAAACTGAACCTGGTGGCATTTCCTGCATGAAGTGCAGTGACAGATCAGCTATGTGTAGGCTTCATCGCTGTGCCTTCCATGCCAAAAAGCCTCCAGCAAGTTTATACTTGTCAAATAAATATAACAGGGCTTCCAGGAAAACCACTTATCTCTCTTTCAGCCTTTTGTGGCTTGGCGCAGCTGCTATTTGTACCCTGATTAATTACTGCCACAAATGATTACATGGGACTGAGGCACAATTAGGATCAGCCTACAATTGTCCCTAAGAGGGGCATGGATGCTTTCACAGATGGTTTCCCTGTAGGATGAAGCTGGCCAGTGTCTCCAGCTGCATCCAAGCTATTTTGCACTGTTAGTGTGGTGACTTTAATCTTTCAGTGCTGCACATTCAGGGTGAGAGCATGTTGCCTTTCACTGAGCAGCAGTACATGGAGGGAAGAGTCAAACATAGCTGTCAAGACCATGGGATCAGAGAGCTTTCTTTGTAACCTGCCCAAATTGCAGAGCAGCAAACAGCGTTTTGGCCTTGATGTACCCACTATATTGGTTGTTATCTTGTGGGAACTGGCTGCAGTGTTTGCTCTGAGAGCTATGATTCTGTGAAAACATAATGTTTGGGGAGTGGAGGGGATCAATTGCTGGCTGAGTCAGCTGCTGATCCAGGAGCAGCACAGCATAATTCTGGTGTAGGTGTTTCAGTCCCTGTCACTGTGCCAGTGGGGAAAAGTCAGGAGGAGTCCTGTGGGACATGGAAAGACGTTCAAAGCAGTTTCCAACTGATACGTCCTGTTGTGCTTATAGGAGCTTCTTGCATGATAGGGGGGGCAGGTATAGAAGGGCTGTGCCATTCTCTGCTAAAAGGAAGCCAGGAGATCTTTGGGGGGCTGTCCTCACGCCCTGAGCTGCCAGAGAACACACCTGAGAGGTGAATGCTGCAGGAATGGGGCTGTGCTGTCAGCTGTGCTGTTGCACAGGCAGCAGTACTGGTGTTCTTTCCCACCTGCCTGAGCTCAGCATGCTCAGACTGTTATGTTCCTTCCTGGGCTGCGTGATGAAGGGAGGCTATCCCCTTTCTCTAAGCCCTTCCGAACGACGCAGACAAAGAGGCAGGAGAGTTCTGTATTGAGAGAGCACTTTATTGTGATACTCTGTGCAGTGTGGTAATCCCGTGGGGCTTGAGAAGTGCTGCTGTAGGAAGTATTTTTAGTCAAAGCCCTTAATGCTGTCTTGTGCTTGTAGTAATGCCTTAGCTCTGCTATGTGTTGTATACCTGGGAAGGTGTGGGCTAAAGATGAGGGAGGACAAACCATGGGTGGAAATCAGAGGCCCTGACAAGGTGGGGAGTGATGATGTCCAAAGCCCGGCCAGCAGCTCCAGCTGTACTCTAGCAGGGAGGTAATGCTGGCTGATACAGGTACCATTGTGTCAACTGGATTCAAGCGACAAAAAGGGGTAACTACCTTTGTAGTAACACAGAATGTGATATTTAAATGTAACATATATGAAAACATATATGAAAATCAGCTTTAAATTTAAGAGCAAAGCCGGCCCATCTGAGAGCGACCGTTTCATGATGTGGCCTAAGTGCTGTTTGACTTGGGGCCCCGGTTTCCATCAGGAGAGCAAGAGCAGAGGTAGGAGTGAACTCTTGGTCCCACGGAAGTCGCCTGTGTGTCGAGTCAGTGATTTCAGGGGAGATGGAGTCCACCCTGGGCAATGGTGGTCCCCACGTGGTCAGGGGAATTTTCTAGTAAATCGAGTGCAGCTGTAGTGCCGGTGCCCCAGGAGGCAGGTGGGGTTAAGCGGCCTTGTCCCCTCCCGTGTAGCCCCCCTGCTCTAATGGTCATCCGTGTCTGGGTACAGGAGGAAGCCCATGAAAGTGGAGTCGTTGATGTTGTCGGCATAGACCCCGTTGTTGTCGCCCTCCCCGTACACCTGGAGCCAGACCTCATCCCCCGAGCTGAGGTGCAGCAGGACGGAGCCGCTCGCCTGGTCGACGTTGTTCTTCTGGAACTGGTCGTAGGTGAAGATCACTGCCTTGTCCTTCTTGTAGAGGCTGACCTTGACGTCCGACATGTAGACCGTCAGGTGGTAGGCGAAGAAGTACGTGCCGGGGATGCTGCAGAGGAACTTGCCGGTGCTGCTGTCGTAGTGGTTCTGCTCGTTGTAGAAGATCTTGGTGAAGCGGATGGGGACGTTGGGGTGGGGGGCTCGCTCCGTCAGCCCCACGCTGAAGGCGGAGCGGTACACGTAGGCGCTTTCACCCTTCTGCCCCTTCATCCCCATGTGTCCTGGAAATCCTCTCGGTCCTTCTGCACCTGTGGCACCCTTTTCACCTGTGTCACCTCTGGCACCTTGTAGACCTGGGAATCAGAATTTGGATTGGAATCTGTTTGTCCTTTTCTGCTACCCTGGTGCCAGAGTTGCAGAGTGGCCCGTGGCATCATGGCTGCCCGGCAGCATGGAGCCCAGTCTTCCCCCTGTAGGCAGGCTGGGTGACATCTGTGCCCAATGGTGTGGGACATCACATCCCCACCCCCCAAGGTGTGCCAAGCTGCTGGTAGCTGTGTGTCTGGGGAATAATTGTTAACTGAAAAAAACAGACATCTACCTGTCTTTTGCCATAGGCTGTGTAATCTCTATTGCTGGAGGCATTCAAAAGCAATCTGGACAGGGTCAGCCACTGCTCGTGGGATGCACCCACCAGGTATCATGTGTACTGGGCCTGGGGTTCATCCTGGGACTGCCCATGTGCTCCAGCATGTGTGTACCCCAAGCTCCTCACCAACCTGGTTCTCCTTTGTCCCCTTTTTGTCCATCTTTTCCATCCTTGCCATCCCTTCCAGGCAGCCCGTTGTGGCCAGGGTGTCCTGGTGCTCCTCCCATCCAGTTGGCACATGACATTTTAGGGTCAGACTGGTCATCCTGGGCAGCCACCTCTGTGTCATGTAAAGCCAGCAGCAGCAGCAATGAGCAAACAAGGAAGCCTGCTGAGCTCCTCATGGTGAGTTCCTGAAGTGGATAAGGGTTTTGTTAACTTCAGAGTTTTAAAGGAAGTAGAAGTGATGAAACCTCCCACACCTTCGAATACTAGCTAACTACAGGAGGCTACAGTTTGAATCAACACGTCTGAAGGAAATTAATTCTGTGTACCTCAGTGGCTTTTCTGTGGAGTCACATCCAGTTAACAGAGCCAGGATGGGGCCTTAATAGCAGCGAGGATGTTGGCCCTGTTGCAAAGCCAGCAAGCAGAGAAGCGGGCTGGAGAGCTGCTCTTAGGTGCTCACTGACTGTGCTGCACTGGCATGGTAGGAACTCAGAACTAAGTTGGCAGGTTTGGGGATGTCTGGGAGTGGTTTCTGTGCAGAGTTCTGCTCAGTTAGCAGCGGTGTGCTTGAACTTCCACCTGGCTGACTGAACTGTTGGTTGGGAGCACAGATTTGCATTCAAATCTCAAAAGCTTTGTTGCTGAAGGGTTGTTTTGTCGCTGTACCTACAGCATGAGTATGCAAACTCATACCCCAGAGTAATGCAAACTTCCTCTTTTTGATTGTATTGAGTTATGGTGCTGTTGTTATTTTTCCATCTCAGTTGTGTTTTTGGATTGCAAGAGCGCATCTTGCACTGCTTCTGTGTACCACAGAGTCATACTCTTCTTTAATTAAGCTGCTCTGCTCATCAGAGCACATTTGTCTGGAACTGGAGGGAACACGCCATGTTCAGCCTGACAGACTGTCCCAAGGCTCTCAGAAACTTGATGGGACCTTCACGTGCTTTAGATCATTCAGGAAATGGGTATCTACATCTCTTTGTTGTATTGCCCTGCTCCCCGTGCAGGAATTTTTCCCTGGAATAAGATGCAGCCTGTTATGGGGAGTGGCACGCTGAGTAAGAAATGTGAATTACAGCATGGCCACTAGAGTGCCCTAGCTCTATAATTTTTGAGAGAAATGGTATTTCAGAGCAGCTCTGTTGCAGAGTTGATTTTGTTTTTTTTCTTTTGTGAACCACTTCAATGTTATATTTTCAGAAGTTGCTCATCTATGGCATAGCGGCTTCAATGCAAGTTGAATTGCAAAGAGGTTACCATGAATTTTGTTTCTGGATGTGACAGGGCTTTCAGGAAAGCTGAACAGCTGTGAACAGCTGTGGTTTCCCAGCTGTTGGGCTCCAACACTCCATGGTGGGAAGGAGGCCCCCCTGGGGGCACTTCTGGTGCTGAGAGTGCTGTCCCTACCCTGCTCCATGTACTCCTCACTGCTATTCTTCTTGTTTGGGAAACAGCAATTCTTTGGCATGTAAATGTCAGTGGTGCCTTTTCAGAGAAGTAACAGGTAAACTAAGAAGATCTGGTAGCATTCAGTAAATACAGAGACTGCCACGAGAATTAAAGCTCACATGCATTATTGGAAGCGTATTCATTTAGCAGCAGAAATCAGAATATCACATGTAAGAACGATGTCATTCAGAATTGAAGTTTAATGCAGACACATACATGCACAAACTTGCTTCACAAAATGGTTCAAAAAATGCCATGTGTGCTTTCCACCTCCTCTGGCTCCCTCAAAGGGCGTTAGCTGGGCTCCTGGAGCCCTGTGCTCCTTTAGCAGTGCCTGCAGGCAGCACGGGCAGCACGCTCCTTGCTGCTGTCACAGCACTGAATTGCTCTGGGACTCAGCCCTGGGTAGCACAGGTGTGTGCCAAGGAGCAAAGCCAGTGCTGCTGAGGCTCCTTGCAGAAAGAACTGGCTCCAGAGGTGCCCCTGCAGTACCTCCACTAGAGCTATGGATCTGTGTGCTGCTGTTCCTGACTGCTCTTGATTGAGGAGTTTGGATCTGCAAACAGTGGATCTGGAAACAAAAGTGTGGGGAGTGTAAAGGAGATGAGCAGTTCTTGGATTAAGATGATCATTATCTCTTCTGAGAATAAGGCTCAGAGAGGAATCTTCATGTGATGGGGGGAAAGTTTGTGTGTGGTTCAGTCGAAAAGAAGAGCAAAGCCAGTATTTAGGAAGAGGGGAGAAAAGCCATGCTTACCGCTCCTGGGAGTCCTGGCTGTTGCTGCAGTCTCCTTAGGAATGGAGTCCGGACAGCACAGCACTGTCCCTAAGGGCACGATGAGCTGTTCGTTAAGATCCTCTATTTTCCATTTGCTGTTGCACTCACTGGCTTAACAGTTGGGTCTTGCCATTAACTTTTCCAGCCGTCACTTGTTTTTGGGGTCACTTACGCTGTTTAGTTCAAAGTGTCAGCTTGTGAAAGTATCCATAAGAAGAGAAAGAGCAGTTTGGGAATTTCTAGGAAATGCAAAGAGAAGTGATGTTTTGGGGAAGTCAGTGCCTGAAAGCTGGCTTGTCTGAGGCTCGACTGTTCCAGGTGCCTGTGAACAGCCACTGCTCTGGGTAACTTGGAAGACTTTTCTGCAGCTGATGGAGGGCGTTTACGGGCTTGTATTAACACATTCGGATGTGCGTGACTTTTTTTTGTTCCAGTGTGTTCATAAATGAATCACTGTGTGAGAAGTTTGTGCTTCTCCTTTCAGCAGCTGGAACTGCTGCTGCACCAAAGAAGGGAATCGCTGGGACGAGGCGGTGCTGGCAGAGCTGCACTGCAGACAGAGCTGGGCAAACAGGCTGCCTCCTGCACGTGGCAGGGCTTGTGGCAATCTGAAAGCTGGCTGTCTGGGGGAAGGCAAGGATGTGTGTAATAAATGATTTTCTGATGTATAGGCATGGGATTCGGCTAGGGAAAAGAGTTGTAGTGTTAAGGAACAGGGTGAAACAGGGTGGAGCCATCATTGAGCTGCTTGTTTGCTTTCTTCCCTATTTTGGTTGAGCTATTGGTCCAGCATTTGAAGAATTTGAACTTTTTTTTTACTTGACAGTAATTTTTCCAGGCAGGGTGAAGATTCAAATCAGTCCTCTCTCATCCAGTAACAAAGAGCATAGAACTGGTTGGTTAGCTGACTCTCCCTGACTGGGATCTAGGCAGATTTCAGCTCCTAGCCTTCATCAGCCTCATGCTCAGCCTGGCCTTGCTTGCTCTTTTAGGTCTAATCCCAGCCAGCAATGATGGACAGTGGACTGGAGCTTCTCCTTTGAATTAAAAATAAGCTTGGAGTTATATATAGCCATCTACAAAAGCAAAGCAGGACGCTCATTGTCAGCCAGGCTTGGCATGGTCTGCACTGCTGCGGCTCGAGGACTGAGCACTGTGCCCCAGGGACGCCTGCTCCGAGCTGCCCTGCCCTGTGCCCTCGTCTTCCCCACCACCCTGGATACAGCACGTACAAGAGACAACAACCCTCGCTTTGCTAAAAACAGCAAACGCTGTTTATGTCATCCAGCAGGCAGGCTGACAGGCTGTAAAATGCTATTTTGGTGCAGCCCGTGGACGGATGGAGCACTGTGCAGGAGCATGGATGCCAATCTGTCAGCCCTTCCCATACGCACAGATGGGCTCTTCCCATGCTGCGGCAGGTAGCTTGGGCAGGGACACTCCTGCTAGGCTCTGGCAGCAGTGTGTCCCCTTCTTTGGGGATCACAGACAAACTTCCCCGGCCCCACGAAGTGCTGCTTGACTCCTGGCAAGGGCCCTTGGCACACTGGTGCTTCTCATGCCGAAAAGGGACATTGTGATGTGTTTGTTCAGACCCTGCCAGCTCCTACCCGCTCCCATGCAGGCTGGCAGCTGAGCCAGGTACTGCTTCTTTCGGCACAGCCCAGTTGTGTCCAGGATTTGTTCTGTGGCAGGGAGCAGAAGACAAAGTCAAAGATCTGGTGTGCAGCATGCCCCCCAGTCCAAACCATCCCACTGAGCTCTCGCAGGATTTGTTCATCCTGTTGCAATGACTGGTGAGGCACTGCCACAGCTGCCCAGGGAGGTGGGATCACCATCCCTGAAGGTGTTCCAGAGCTGTGGAGATGTGGCACTGAGGGATGTGGTCAGTAGGCATGGTGGGGAGGGCTGGGTTTGGACTTAGGGATCCGAGGGGTCTTTTCCAATCTGGATAATGGTTCTAAGATGCAGTGAGAGCTGCCAACTCTGGCAGCAGGTTATCCTGCAGCCTGAGGCCCATCTGTATCCACTCAAACACATGGTTAAGAGCAGACAAATTATTCATGAATGATTTCTGACTAACATAAGCATGGAGAAGAGCAGCTTTTTCTGCAGACGTGATTTTCCTTATTGCCCTGCTAGCTGTGAGTTTTGGACAATAGATGGAGCTAAGAGCCCTGGTGGCCTGGATCCTGTGTGCTGAGCTTTGGCAGTGCCAGAGTGAGGGGCTTTGCTCAGCTCTGAGTGGGGTCAGGTGGGGAAGGCAGAGGGCTGGAGAGTGGCCATGGACATGGATAAACGATGTGGTGGGGATGTGGTTTTGGTGGGAATGCTGGGACAGCTGCTGGTGGTGCCTGCCAACAACCCAGCCATCCCCGTGCAATCCTTCCTGCAAGATCACATCCTCCTCTCTCTTTTCTTCCTGTTGTGTAAATGTACGGGGGTCATTTTTGGCCACCATCGTTTTTCCATTTGCTCAGGTATCGACCGAGGGCTGCAGGCTCCGGTGCCCTGTGCCATGCATTAGCTGCCTCCCACTCTGCAGTGTGATCAATGAGGTTTTATGGCATGCCTTTTTGGCAGGGTGGTTTGCAGGCATCGGTGAACATCCCTGGGAGCTCTGACAAAGGGAGGCATGAGGGAGTTGCAGCTCTCCCCCTGGGCAGCGCTTTGGGCAGCAGGTGGGATTTCAGGTCAGAAACCCATCTGCACCCGGCTTCCTTGTGTTTGGCTCCATTTTGGGACTGACGTGTCAAACCTGGGAGAAGTCACTGGAACAGCTTCAGGCTAGGCTTGCCAATGGAAACAGGATGTCAGCTTTTTTCCATGAGGTGGCAGGGTGGTGGAGCATCACAGCGAGCAGGGTCCCAGCGCTGCCCTGCGCTGGCTCACACAGCAGCTGATTCCTTGCTGTGCTTCTGGCACAGGTTTAAGCTTGTTTTGCATCAGTGCAGTGACTCTTTCCACTTAGACTGCCTCGGGTAACGTTGGGCTTAGAGACAGGGCTTAAATCCTTCCACCTCCTCTGTTCTCTTTTCTCTGGCACTTTACTGCATATCACTGCTGTGTCACCCCTCACGTACCGTGGTACGTGGTGGTAGGGTGGGTGGCTGGGATACTAGCCTGCTTTATTTTGGAGCTGTTTACCCAGAGTAGGGCCATCCTCATCCCTATTGAACCCCTCATGATGATGTCACTGCAGCCGGGGGAACCTGCATGCCACAGCACAGTGCTGGCACGTTACGAACAGCTTTGTAACAGTACTGCAGCCCCATCTAAATAACCCACAACACTGGCCAAATTCAATGATTTTTGCTTCAAAGCACAGTAAGGTGCTAAAGGAGAACAGTGTGCATCTGTCTCCCATTGCTGACAAAGTCTTATGACCTAGAAGCAAGGACAGGGTTAATGACAGGAATCTTACATTGTCTGCAAAATGAAATATTATTGTGGAGTATGAGTGATGCGTATTTCATCATGGAGCTGTAAAACTGATCAGGAATGAGAGCTGTATGTTTTTGCTTTGGGCTTTTCAGGGTGTAAATCAGCACATAGCTCCTTGGGAAGTTGTACAGGCTGCTGCATCCATGACGTTTTTGTGGGGTGTTTCTTTATGCTCAGGAGAAAGCGTTTATGGTTGCTGCAGAGCTAAAGCAAGGCCTATGATGTCTTCAATTATTCATTTTTATAAGTGCTTGTTCTGACTCAAAACAGCCGAAACCACACTTTGACCGGCATTAGCAGTAAATTGTTCTATTTTTGCTGGAATCGAATTGCTTTGTTCCTGCTGCAGACCTTCCCTCCCTTTCACAAGGAAGACAATTGAGTGACGAGCCTGTAACGAGTTGCTCTGGGCTATCCCAGTGCTTTGAGTTCTGCTGGTTTGGAAAGCACCTGCTGGCTTCCAGCCCCACTGTGGCATCTTGTGCCATGCCTGCCAGCAGGCTGGGAAGGCTGAGCAGAGTATGACCACTGCACAGACAGCAGCAGACTTGGTAGGATCTGGAGTGGGTGCATTCAGAGCACAGTGAGCACCACAGTGGGCTGTGCTCAGATAGAGGCTCATTTCCAAGGTGTTTTTCCCTGCATCGTGGCGTGGTGCTTGGCCACAGGGAAGCCAATGCTGAGAGCCTAAGCGCAGCCTATCTGGGCTCAGCCCTGCATCCGTGCTCACAGGGAGACCCTGCAAGGCTGAAGGTTCCTCTGCAGGAAGGTGTGCTTCCTGGTGCTCCTTTATAGGATTTTAATATGGTTTGCATGTCAGCACGCTGCCCGCAGCCTCCTCGCCGTGCTGTTTTCTGTGGATTAGGTTCAACGGTATAAATTCACCTCTTTTTATACTTATAATCCCTGCTAGAGTAGTGACTTTAATAGAGACTGTTCTTTCTCTCTGCTTTGGCAAAGCAAGTGCCAGCTCCCTGCTGTGCCTCTTCTCAAACGACACGGATGTTCTCCGAATAGCAAAGAGAGGGGGGGAAAAAAAACCAACAAAAAAAAACCCTGAGTTGTTTCTTTTTTCAGATGGCTACACACAGCTGAAAAATCCCCTTTCCCTTTCTGACTTGTGTTTGCTCAGTTACCAGGGGCTCAGTGGCTGGGGCACAGCCTGCCTCCCACGGCTGTGTGTGCTGCCGCTTGGCTCTGTGTCTGCAAATATTGTCACCCAGCTGCAACGCCACCGATCATCGCTCACAGCTCTGCAAGCTGCTCTGGTTTGTGATGAGCCTGCAAACGTCAACATACGTTTGTCAGAGATAATCAGGCCACTTCTGTGCACAGTGGCTCCGGTGTCTCTTTTGTTTGAGGGCTTTCCACCTTCCTCTCAGTGTGAGGTGCCTTTTCCACTGCCTCTAGATATAACTGACTTGTCTTTGTTGTTTTCTGCATCTGTTTGCCATGGCAAACTGCTGCTGCCCCAAGGCATTGACCTAAAGGAATGTTCTTTTTTCTCTCTTCTGTTCCTTTTACATAGCTTCTCTAGGTTTGCTCGTTGTTCTTGCTCTCCTATGCTGCTCACCTGGTGGCTTTTTCCCCCTTCCTTCTGCATGTTCATAATATGTTATTTGCAGCCCATCTCGAGCAGAACACGAACCAAAAAACATCTGGGTTTCATTTTCCACTTCCAGTTTTAAATGCCAGCACAGATTATTTTACAGTATGATGAGAATTTAAAAACAGGTAGGCTAAGAACCACTGGGGAAAAGATGTGTCCAAGGAACGTGGGTAGGAAGTGGTCTGAGCTGCAGCTCATCTGCATCTGCACATCCCAAAGCTGCTTCTGCAAACCATTTGGGGTTTTGGTTCTGTCCCACCATAGCTTGCTGCCACTCTGGTCTCCCCAACAGGAACTTCAGGGTGGTGGTGTCCCCTGTGCCCTGCTCCCAACTCCCAGAGCAAAGCCTTCGGTTCCCACCTGTCACCACAGACA